TTTTTTTTTTCTTTATGTTTGTTTTTCACATTCAATTTCTGTTCAGAAATACAATATTGATGGTTCCGAAATTTTCGATGATTCCGTTTTGCTGGAAGTTTTGTGGACCCGAATATCCGGTGATGGAGAGCAAGCTAGCACCTCGAAAGCTTTTACGACAGAAGAATCGCAAAGCAGCATGGCTGCAGCCCAGTCGGAAGATTCTACGAGAGACTCGGGAAAAGATTCGAAAGAATCTACAGCCGCTATTGGCAGTTCGCGTAGCAGCCCCAGTTCTAATGATGAGAAAGTAATTTTGAATTTTTTCCGAATTTTAAAATCCGACGCATCGTTTGGCAGTCTTCCAACAAATTCTGCTTCTTTTTTAATGGCGGTTATTATTTCCAGAAAGGTGGCCGTCGAAAGAAATCGCATCCTGTTAAGCGATCGATTTCACCGGATGGATGAAAATCGTGGGGACTCTTCAGCATGAAAAACTGAATTTTTCTGGACTTGTAATTAAATCATTATTGTTGTGATCTGTTTGTTTCATATGCTGAAAATTGCAAAACATATATATGCTGTTTCCAAGTTCTTAGGAATGATATCTTTTTCCAGTACTTGCTTTTTACAATTTATTGCTTCTTGTAACAATGATGGGGTTTTTTTTTGTTTGCAGTAATTTTTTTTTGTTTTTCACTATTCTAACAAATAAGCATTTTGGGCAATTTTTCTATGTCCACTTTCTCCGCTGCCCATCTTCCTGCCACCACCTTCCTCCTTCCTGTTCTTTTCAAAATGTGTTTTTGTTATGAAATCTCCCCTTTGTCATTCGGCCAAGCTTATAAAAACAGATTTATTGTGGTCCAATTCCTTCTGTGTGCCCGAAAATACCCTTTTTAAATTTCCATGAATTCTATTATGCTTAAGATTAAAGATCTTTCATTCCGCGCAAAACATCTAATTATATGCCGAAGACAAAGCTAGGTGATTTCCACCCCTAACCTTTCCTTCACGAACAAAAGTTCTTTCTTGAGAGATGAAAGTATTCAGATGTAGCCCTATTAGTAGCGCATATGGTACCAGTACCTATTAGTTGGCAAATCTGTGGGTGACTCCGTTTTTTGTAGATTACTGTGAATCAAGTTTTGCAGCGATTTTGTTTTTTTTTACCATATGCAGTACTCTGAATTCGCCTTTCGTTGTAACACTGTGTTTTCAAATATCAT